TTTTAGCTACTGAAGGTGAAGAACCTGGCAGTGAAGTGATGCTGTAGAGGGTGTGTGAATGTATCACCAACAACCTATTTGATATTCACAGGGAATCTCACAAATGACCATGTTACAGCAAAACATGCAGTGCTTGCAAAAGTATTCACCCCCTTGGCTATTTTGTTGCATTACCACCTGCAATTAAAATGGATTGTATGGGGGGGGTGTTATCATTTGATTTACACAACATGCCTACTACTTTGAAGATGCAAAGTATTTTTTATTGGGATACAAACAAGAAATAAGACAAAAAGACCCCCAGAAAACTTGAGCGTGCATAACTATTCACCCCCCTTCCAAAGTCAATACTTTGTAGAGCCAATTACAGCTGCAGGTCTCTTGGGGTACGTCTCTATAAGCGTGGCACATCTAGCCACTGGGATTTTAGCCCATGTTGACTAAGCAGCATTTCCACTACTCTTCTCTGGCAACCCATGTGTCCCACTATCAGTCTGTTCCAGTGCTGCAGCCACTGCACCTTTCACCGTCTCAGGCCAGGGGTGGGGAGGGGGATTTGGTTGGGGGTGCTGGCAGTGTACAATACTGGGAGGGGGCTGCTGCCAATACAAGTTGCTCTTGGCAGTGACATCTGTGAGCTGGCCGGGATGCTATTGGAGACCTATAGCACTGGCTGGAAAGGGGGCAGGCACGCTTACCTGCTGCCCTCTCACATGTGACCCAATGAGATGCCGCCTGAGTTAGAGAATCACCTGCACACCATACAGCGCTTGAACCAAATTAAATATCCGTTGGTGCTCAAAATGATGACACCGATGGCGCCGTGTAACAATCCAAATAAAAATAGTAGTGACTAGCACTCACTTGTAATGTGCAAAAAAGATAGCACTTTTATTTATACGTCACATGCGTCAAGAAGCCAACGTTTCGGGGCCGTGCAGGGTCCCTTCATCAGTCAAGCAAAACAAATGGCAAGCGCACTCAGTGATGCATGGGGGGGTCTCAGCTGCCTTGTGATGTGCGGGATCCCTTGTGCGTCCCTGTGCCTTTAAGGGAGGTCGGGCTTCCTCCTGACAAACCTGCACCCAATTCTATCTTCTGCCCCCATGTGCTCCAAGATGGAGACACTCATAGGTTAGAGTTAGGACCGCACTATATAGAGGTGCCTTGGCGCGGCTGTGCGGCTTTCACATTTTCTGCAGAAGACGTGTATCTAGGACCTCTTTTTTTAACCTTAGTGGTGAGACAGGTTTTTTTGCATGCCGCCTGGTGAGTGTGCCGGGAAAACTTTGCTGGGTCCCTTCATCAGTCACAATGTCGCCCTGATGAAGGGACCCTGCCCGGCCCCGAAACATTGGCTTCTTGACGCATGTGACGTATCAATAAAAGTGCTATCTTTTTTACACATTACAAGTGAGTGCTGGTGACTACTATCTTTACTTGCCTCATTATAGAGACATCCCTGGCTACAGCCTTTCTCAATGTCTTCTGCACCTGGCAGCCAGAAGTCTGTGCCCTCTGCCCTCCTTCCTTTCTCTGTCCTCCTTCCTTTCTCTGACCTCCTTCCTTTCTCTGTCCCCCTTCCTTTCTCTGTCCTCCTTCCTTTCTCTGGCCTCCTTCCTTTCTCTCTCCCCTCCCTTCCTTTCTCTGTCCTCCCTTCCTTTCTCTGCCCTCCCTTCCTTTCTCTGCCCTCCCTTCCTTTCTCTGACCACAATGTTACTAGCAGGACTCACAATGATATAGGGCAGCGGTAGGCAAGCTTAACACTCTTGTAGTTCCACAACACCGGGAGTGCTGAGGTTGCCTACCCCTGATATAGGGGTTGGAGATGGAGCTCTACAGCCAGGGCCGGTGCTGGACTTGCACCCCAATCTCCCTGGCGCGGCCCCGTTCTCCTGCTGGCTAGCTTCCGCAGGCGACGGGTGGATGTAAGCAGCCGGGAGCAATAGCCAGACTGCTATTGGCTATTTTAATTTGATATAGCTCATAGCAGACTGGCTATTGAAACCCCGCCCACTGAGCAGAGGAGGGGATCTTAGAGAGAAAGTTGTCTCTAAGTTCTGTTCTTCTGCTTAGTGGGAGGATGCCATAGCCAGCCTGCTATTGGCTTTTACAATTTGAAATAGAGGGGGGCACCGTAAGGGAGGTGAGTGTTCGAGGCTGCGCCCTAGGCAGCAGTGCACCCTAGGCGGCTGCCTAGTTCGCCTAGTGGCACCACCGGCCCTGCCTACAGCGCCTAGTGTAGTCGATTTGCGTCCTTGCTTCCTGACGAGGAAAGCTCCATGACCTGAGTGCGGCGCGCCTGTAGTCCATGTGGTCAGTTTGTCGCAGACATGCCACCCACCCAGCTCTTCACAGCTTGAGTGACAGCAGCTCTGGGACCTGTGACGTTGTCGAAAAGCATTGTTTCTGATGCGCAGATCTTCCATATTCCTTTTCTGCTTCTGACTCGGGATGAACTGCTGCAGGACAATTTTGGTTCCTGAGGCCCTCGGAGAAACGTTGCAGCTGCCGCAGCGGTAGAACCGTGCGGCGCAGATGTAGGCCGCGTCTTAGTTTTTTGTGTGTGCGTGTTTCGGGATATTTTATGAGAACCTTGATAATGTTATTCCAACGATGAAAAGTTAAATCGCAGCCTTTCCTGGCCAAGAAATAAAACGGAACATTTTCCTGACCTGGCAGCTCTCCCACCTTTTTTTAAATAAATAGATAAATCTGACGTAGCGGCACTCTCCCAAAACCGCGATGATCCAGCCCCGCTCTGCTGGCAGCTCCACCGACCTTGGAAACGTGGCTTTAAAGGAAAACGGCTGCGATCGCTGGATCCTAGAATGTAATAAGAGGAGGCGGAGGCTTCGGGGAGTCCCCGATGCAATGGTCTCAGTATACCGCGAGCTGTAGCTCCCTATATACTGAGCTTAGGGTGACGGGAGGACGCTAGTTTGTGTCCTCCCGTTACCCTAAGGAGAACTATGGGGAAAAGCCTTAACCCCATAGTTCGCCTTTAAATCTGAATGGTGCTTGTGGTCTTCCAATCTCCAGGTCATAGAACACTTTAACAAGTACCTTCACCACCCCAAGTACCTTCACCACCCCAAGTACCTTCACCACCCCAAGTACCTTCACCACCCCAAGTACCTTCACCACCCCAAGTACCTAGCCCACCCTTTCTTAATACTACTGCAGTGACTCTGATTTTATTTTTATTTTTTAAACCCTTTCAGGTCTCCACCTGGTTCTTCACCACCTTCACCGTGTCCGGACTGAAGGACCGAGTCCACCAAGTGGAAAGCCTGCACCAGCTCTTTACCGCCATCCCGCCTGACCAGATTGAAATTCCGCCATTCGTCCTGAACTACGACGCTCGGGTAAGAGGCCGGGTGAGGTGGGGTGTGATGGTTTTCGGAGTGGGGTGAATCGGTAAATCGATGAAATAACAAGACGCGCTCGTAGTTTTAAAGGAGAACTATGGGGTTAAGGCTTTTCCCCATAGTTCTCCTTGTTGCAATTTCTCTGCACCAGCAATGGTTTATTGGGCCCATTCTATGTAATTCGATTGTCTGGTGGTCACAAGGACCGCTTGAGGCTTAAAGGAGAACTATGGGGTTAAGGCTTTCCCCCATAGTTCTCCTTAGGGTAACGGGAGGACCCAAACTAGCGTCCTCCCGTCACCCTAAGCTCAGTATATAGGGAGCTACAGCTCGCGATATACTGAGACGCCGGAGCGGATCCCGACATCGATGTCAAGATCCAAGCCGTAAACGGCCAACCAATCGGAAGCCGATTTAATCGATGATTGAAAAAGTTGACAACTTTTTCAATATTCGATTATAATCGATTATGTCGATTAGTTGTTGCAGCCCTACTGGATTCCCCCCTCCCCTCTCCGATCCTCCAGCGCTGACTGGCGGAACGGGGGAGGGGGCGGGTACAGCTGGCTCTGCCTCTAGATAGGGAGAGCCAGCTGTCACTCACGCAGCTGGGCGGATCCCGGCACAATCCGTCCCCGATGCAATGGTCTCAGTATACCGCGAGCTGTAGCTCCCTATATACTGAGCTTAGGGTGACGGGAGGACGCTAGTTTGTGTCCTCCCGTTACCCTAAGGAGAACTATGGGGAAAAGCCTTAACCCCATAGTTCGCCTTTAAATCTGAATGGTGCTTGTGGTCTTCCAATCTCCAGGTCATAGAACACTTTAACAAGTACCTTCACCACCCCAAGTACCTTCACCACCCCAAGTACCTTCACCACCCCAAGTACCTTCACCACCCCAAGTACCTAGCCCACCCTTTCATAATCCTACTGCAGTGACTCTGATTTTATTTTTATTTTTTAAACCCTTTCAGGTCTCCACCTGGTTCTTCACCACCTTCACCGTGTCCGGACTGAAGGACCGAGTCCACCAAGTGGAAAGCCTGCACCAGCTCTTTACCGCCATCCCGCCTGACCAGATTGAAATTCCGCCATTCGTCCTGAACTACGACGCTCGGGTAAGAGGCCGGGTGAGGTGGGGTGTGATGGTTTTCGGAGTGGGGTGAATCGGTAAATCGATGAAATAACAAGACGCGCTCGTAGTTTTAAAGGAGAACTATGGGGTTAAGGCTTTTCCCCATAGTTCTCCTTGTTGCAATTTCTCTGCACCAGCAATGGTTTATTGGGCCCATTCTATGTAATTCGATTGTCTGGTGGTCACAAGGACCGCTTGAGGCTTAAAGGAGAACTATGGGGTTAAGGCTTTCCCCCATAGTTCTCCTTAGGGTAACGGGAGGACCCAAACTAGCGTCCTCCCGTCACCCTAAGCTCAGTATATAGGGAGCTACAGCTCGCGATATACTGAGACGCCGGAGCGGATCCCGACATCGATGTCAAGATCCGCCCAGCTGCGTGACTGACAGCTGGCTCTGCCTATCTAGAGACAGAGCCAGCTATACCCGCCCCCTGTCAGGGCAGAGAGCCGTGACAGGATCGAGAGGGGAGCGAACGCCGGTATGTGTACGCTCACCTCCCGATCTACTGAGCCGACCTGTTACAGTTTCATTGTCACAGGTCGGCTAGAACTATGAGGTGAGTGTGCACTTTTTTTTTTACATGACTGTTGGGGGGGTTGTTGGCTTTAGATATACTGGAGAGTGACCCCCCGAGTACATGTAGCTGTGTGACCATTGAGGATTCCATTGCACTACTCCCCTCGGGTTCTGAAGGCAATGGAACCTTTTAGTATTTGTTTTTTGATGACATGGTTGACCTGTAACAAAAAAATAAATAAAATCAAGGCATCTGGACTTGCTGTATTTGAAGACATTTCGCTGGTCATCCAACCAGCTTTCTCAATCCTGAGCTGAGAAAAGCGAGTCGCATGACCAGCCGAACGTCTTCAAATACAGCAAGTCCAGATCTACCATGACCTGGATGAATGAGAACCTTGAGAACAGCAAAAGTCGATGCTGAGATTTCCCTGGCCACGCCTCTTGCCCCACCCACTGCATCACAGCAGAGCTTGGTCATTATATATATATATATATAACAGGTATTTATAGAGCGCCGACAATTTACGCGGCGCTTTACATAGTTGCACATTCACATCAGTCCCTACACCTCAAGGAGCTTACAATCTAAGGTCCCTATCATCACACGCATACATAGAGGGCCAACTTAGAGAGGAGCCAATTAACCTTCCAGCGTGTCTTTGGAGTGTGGGAGGAAACCGGAGTGCCCGGAGGAAACCCACGCAAGCGCAGGGAGAGCATGCAAACTCCTTGCAGATAGTGACCCTGGCTGGGATTTGAACCGGGGACCCCCAGTGCTGCAAGGCAGAAGCGCCGACCACTACTGTTTACTTGTGTGGCTGTTCGGGTTTGCAGTTGGCTCGTGGTAAATGAAAGCCATGACCTCATCAGGGAAGGCCGGTGACACCAACACTATTCACCCCTGGGGGGATCTCAGCAT